AATAAATAAAATAAAATAAAATAAAAATGAAAACATATTATTAAATTAAATTAAATTAAATTACACTAAATTAAATTAAATTACATTAAATTAAATCATTAAGCCTACATGTTAAGGTCTCCACTATTCTTGTGTACTTAAATACATATAGGCTGTTGAATTTATCTGTATGTGGTTTACCGTTATAGACAATGTTCTGCAGTGGCATCTGTTCTCAAGCCTCGATCTTCCATTTTGAATGTCACTCATGAAAAGCTCCTTTCAGTCTGAGTCAACTGTACCCATAAAAAACACATCAAAAACAGCAGGTTAAACTTTTACCCCACAGCAACCACTGCCAGAGCCTAAAAAGACCTGTAGGGGGCAGCAATCACCATGACTGTCTCTGCCTCTGAGGACAGAAATACATTTTATAGATGAAATTTGCACTGCACTTTCTGTTCCGTTTCTGTAATGATCTTGTTTAATGCCTTTTTTTTCTCTAAACATCCTGCACTTTTATTTATTCCTTTTTCTTTGAAAAAGTACGTACTTATTAGAAAGTGGTTGGACCTATATGTGTGGGTAATGGGGATTTGGGTTTCAGGAAGGGTTATATTATATTCTTGTACATTGTTGTATTGTCCATTACATGCGCTGTTAGGTTACAAAACCAATAAAGACAACATTTAAAAAATGTTTAGCATGAACTTTCATGGAGCACTGGTAATAAGCCAAAAGTGTGACACTATCCATAACAGAGGCGTAAATATAGATAGTGAAGGCAGTCTAATTGCAAGGGGCCACTGGGGTGGAAGGGCCTGCAGAGACAGTGGGCCCTTGCAAGTGATTCAGATTACCACTTTGGAAATTTACCACTGTTCACTGTTCACTGTTGATAAATGATAAAAGAAAGAATATTATTAATCAAAAAACTGTACCATTTGCTTTATATGTCCTCAAAAAGGCAAACCCATTTACATCATGGTTTCCTTTTTATTTCTTTAAATAGTCAGTAGCTATCTAAAACAAAATGATATGCTTTTTTTAGTATAAGCAATACAATCTGTAAATATACTGTAAAAACTATTGAATGTCAAGTCTCTATACAGTGCCCTCCAAAAGTATTGGAACAGTGAGGCCAATTCCTTTATTTTTGTTGTAGACTGAAAATATTTGGGTTTGACATCAAAAGATGAATATGGGACAAGAGATCAACATTTCAGCTTTTATTTCCAGGTATTTACATCTGGATCTGATACACAACTTAGAAGATAGCACCTTTTGTTTGAACCCACCCATTTTTCATGAGAGCAAAAGTATTGGAACATGTGACTGACAGGTGTGTTTTGTTGCCCAGGTGTCTCCCA